AGTTGATGAGGACGTATTGGTGGCCTACCATGGCAAGAGACGTCAGTGACAACGTCAAAGCCTGTGAAGCCTGTCAAAAGTATGGCCCAAATGTGAGCCCAGCGAAATCAGAAACATGGTTGGTATTGGAGCCGTTTGAGGTTATTGCATGGGACTTTCTGGGCCCGTTCACACCAGTGGGTGACTACAGGTATTTGCTAGTCGTTGTAGACTATGCAACGCGGTGGTGTGAGGTTACGCCAATTGCAGCTGCGGATCACAATCACGTGATGATCATGCTGAGTGCAATTTGCGCCCGATTTGGCATCCCCAGAATCTGCCTTTCTGACCGGGGAATGGCATTTAAGGAGCGACATCTTCGACAGATGGCACGTGATCTTGGAGTAGCATGGGTCTATTCACCAGCCTACTCGCCTAAAAGCAACGGACTGGTTGAGCGCACGAATCGTGAGTTGTTGGATCGCTTGAGGAGGCTAACTGATGGACACAGCGAGCTGTGGATACGCGAGTTGGGGCGCGCAGTTCTGGCTGTCAACTCCCGGATTGTTGAGTCAATGAAGTGCTCTCCTTTCGAAGCTTTGATGGGGTATACACCAAAGCGAACACATGAGGTGGCGGTACCGGTACACAGAGTGGAATCACTAGTGGAGGGCTGGAGAAAACCGGAGCCTGAGGAATTGCAGCAGAGAATTGACGAACTGCAGTTGCGCCGTGATGGGATTGATGCAAATCGAGCAGCCATGATGAAGGGAAGAGAAGAAGCCACCAAAACTGTGCGCAAGGTTCAGTTCAAACCAGGTCAAAAAGTATGGTTACGCAATACGGTGAGGTTCAAGCAGCATGGGCGGAAATTAGACCCTCACTGGCTTGGACCATATCGTATTTTGCGTCGCCTCTCTGATCAGAGGTACGAGATTGGTCGGAAGGCATGAGGCGCTGATTCGGAAGAAGTCCATGTTGATCGCCTCAAGGAGTTCATCGAACAGAAAGTAACTAAAGGACAGTGATGGCAAGACCGCGATGAACTGTGTGAACAAAGTGTATGCAAGGATTCTACATCTGCTTGATAATTGAAGTAAAGGGCTATGAAAAGGGCCGGATGGTATTTGATTATTGTAACATTGTGGATTCGAGAATGCGACGAGATATTATGTTTAAGTCAACTGAGATGATGGTGTTTAGAATGTGCATGAAAGATCGCAACGAGGGCGTTCGCGATTGAGAGTAATGGGGCTGTATGTTACGGCTAGAACTGATTGAGTGTTATAAATAACTGAATGTATGAAAAGATGACGAAGCACTAGGAATTACATTAAGGATGTTGATGAACGGACTGGGTATAAAGGACAGAACGTCTGTTGTCCTTTTGCCTCGGTTGTAAACCGTTGCCGTGGACTTGAGCGTACGATTCCCGTTCAGGGATCGCCACCCCTCGACCCTGCCTGCCTTCGTCAACACCACTTTCCTTAAGCCCATTAGAAAGAGCCCCGATGTCAATTGAAGAACGTTGAATAAAAAGAGTCATATCTCCAAAAATCTTTAGGGCAACATATCCTCTGCCACTTGTTTCATACAACAATTGATCTATGACTTGGAAATGATCTGATCGCATGCGTGATGCACTACAAGGACATGCATGCGCTGCACTCATCTCACAATGTGCTTGTAGCTGTTCTAATGTGGGGGACAACCCAGGATAGGTGCCATTAGCAAAGTTTAGAGACGAGCCCTATGTTGCCTAAGAAGAATGCCTACTGTGGTGTGCCTCACAATACCACTCCAAAACCGAATTGAAAATGCAAATCAGGTGCTGGACAGACAGATGTAACAACAACACATAGTGAGCTAAACTTGAATGTAGATCACAAGTCACCCTCGCTGCATTCCGTCCATCCAGCTACCTACCGATGAGGCCCGGGTCGCTCGGCCCCGATCGCCACTGCCAGCAGACGCCGGGGAGCAGCCCGCCAAGCGGACCTTGGCGTCGATGCCCACTGGGGCACCTGGCCTGGGCGGCCGCAGGGAGGCGATGCGCTGCCCAACGCCAAGAGGCCAACTGGTGCGCAAATGTCCTCCACAGGTGCAGAGCACAACCGTCGCGTCCGGGTGCCAACCCAAGCAACTCAATCCAACAGATGCTGCCTTACGGTGCTCAATCCAGGCCTGTTTGGTAAAGGCGGCACCTGGCGAACTCCACTGCAGGGAACGTGCGGTGCGATTTGTTTGTTGCGTGGGGCTGATCGTGTTTCCTTTGTGGGGACACCGCTGGTGGGGTGTCTCCCTGATGGCTTGTTTGTGTGCGAGCAGCTGATGCTACGGGGCTCTACATCATCTTGCAAAAGTGCAAAATGGTTCTGTGCATAATTTTGCAGTCCTTGGGCTTCTGTTTTGGGTGTGCGAAATCTGCAATGAATACAACTGTTGAATTAAGCAACTCTAGGATCTTTCACGTATTAGGCGATGTTGGGGCGCTTTTAAAACTCAGAACTGGAATCTATTACCCTGTGCACGACACTCCAAGCAGAAGAATATGGAATCAAGGAATAGAATCAAATTTGCACGAGCTGCAGTCCATGCAAAAGCCAGAACCCTCCAACAGTTTGTTCCTCTGAGCTCGTGCAGTTGCTTTCCCACCAGGCCGTTGAGTGTGCAACAAATGGTGTGTCTGATGTTGGCAATGCGCCTTGCCCACAAGATTCTTCAATACCCCAGGAGGCAAATCCGCTTCAGCTTCGAAGCAGCACCTTCGACTGGGGATCGAGATTGGTGATGGCCTGTATGCAAGGAAGTAAGTTCCTGCCAAATCACATGGCCTAAACTTCATCTTTTCAGGTAGCGATCAACACACAAACCTAAAATTCAGGGTGGGAGTGCATTACTGACTTGAATCCTCTGTGTGGCGCAATCAGAGTGTGTCAAGCCACTGCCCTTTCATCTGTGATGTTGTATGTAGCTGATGGTGAGTTTCAATTTACAGGGCAGATTGCGATGCAAGCTTGTGTACTTGAGGCAAGCTACCAGATGCTGCAGTGATGGTGTTCCTGGACAACGTGTCCCTTTGGGGCTGGTCTCAGCATTGAGGATGCAGAATAGCAAAAAGCTGACATTTGTTGGAACTCCAAAGCCTGTACTTGCAAGACATCGAGGTGAGGATGGAATCAGAAATGTAGCAAGGCAGTCTTTGATGCAGCCAGCACTATGGAGAATTGATGTCCTTGCTGTGAGCAGCCAGACTTGTTTGAAAGCCTTGTACAAGTTTGCAGGGAACAGGGCGCTTGCAGATTTGCCATTTCTCCAAGACACTTTGAATTTGGGACTAGAAATTCAAGCAGCACCTCTGGATTCAACTGCATTGGTGTTCAATTCACAGTGAATCAGAGCACATTCTAATACTCTGTCTTTGCTCAATGGAAAAGATATAATTCATTTCATTGCCAAATATACTGGCAACAATGCAACTGGCTCGTTGGCGCGATTTTTGCTGACATCACTTCTCATCCACTACTTCAGGGCTTCAATATCCACATTGTTCACCTGGAAGAAATGCCGTTGCAGCTCTATTGGTTCAATTCAAAGTCATGCTTCAGTTGAACCATGTGAGAACACTTGGCATTGGATGATGGTGCACTGTGCATATTCAAGACCAGGGCAAGAGTTCAGGCCCACAGTGTTTGCCAATATAGGCCTGCGCACAGGCCTTTATTGTATACCTCTGGAATTGATACAAATGTCTTGGGTGTTGTGCATCCACGGACTATTGGTATGTTTGCTGCAATGTGTTTCTGGGCTGGCAACAACTGAAGGGTCAGGCATGTCTGCACAGACATTGCTCTGTTTGGTGCAATTGCCAAAAGAGCGACTGACACGGTACTTGAATTGTTGTTGCTCTGTGCAGAATGTAATGGATATCAGTTCAGTTCAGTTTATCTGTAAGAAATGCGAGAGGCACACTTCTGATCTCCAGCACGATTACATTCTTTGTGCAGGTGGTCATGGCCCAGATCTTGCGCGTGCAGCATCCATGGCCCCACTTTCAACAGGCTCCCCATGGATGGAAATCGGTGCCATTGTGTTGGTGCGCAGTTGGTGCAATTGTGGAACCCATTTGCTGCAGAGGCAGCTTGCTGAGCAGGTCTACATGCTCAACCCTACAAGGCAGTGTTGGGTCACTGTTTTGATGGTGTACACACCCCGGCCATATTCCTGTAAATTCACATTGATATACATTTGTCGAACTTGCATGAATCACTGCCCATGTACCTATCAGGTGACATCAAACGTAGTTGGTATGCACAGATTTTGGCCTGAAGGTGTTTGGATCCCGTCTGAGACATGTATGTGCAATGTGCTTGAAAATGTGCCATGAATGTCTCTGGGTTGTGGCATCTGGAGGCAGAAGCAGGAAACCGGCTGTAACTCTGCAGGTTTCTCAGAATGTGTTGCATATGGTGCACATGAGGAAGTGTTGCATCAAGTTTGGCTTTGATAAGCTGGCAGTGCCACCGCAAATGTATTCTATCATCTGCTGCCTACCCTGGAGGAACAGAGCCAATTGTGCGTTCTGCAATAGTATGTTTTGACTGTTTTTTTGTATGGCCTTTATTGCTGTCCCAGACATTAGGTGTGGTGCAAAACCGTGTCTTGACCTTGTCTCAATGTCATTACCACGCTGACTATGGCACGTGTTCCACAGGGCTACGTCGTGGTGTTTGGCGCTTGTTTCAGGAATGTACCACAAATCACTCGAGTTGTGAAGCACAGGAGGTAAGTGATGCAGGCTATTGCCTTGAAAAACAGCATGGTTGACATGCCTAAAATGCTGCAAGGCATTTCCAGGGGAAATGAGGCTTTGGTGCCTTCACATGCTGGTTGGCGAAGTAGGCATCCATCGTGTCTGCAGTCTGTCATCGCAGTTTAGATTCGTATGTCGCAGTGGAATGTTGTCTTCAATGTGGTAATGGGGGAGGGTTGAAGGAGGTTTTGCAGCTGAATAGCACCCCTTACCAACATATGTTGATCGTCAGCCTCCTTGAACCCCTGTTGCCCATGTAGGCCGGCAACTGGGGGACCCTCGCAAAGCAGCCAGGGTAAACTGGCAGCTTATTCTTGTTGTGCGGCCCTGTAAATTAACTTAACTGAATTTTACAGTAAGAGAACCATGCCAAGACAAAAAGAAACGAGTCACTGTTTTTGACGTGGCACTGGTCACTTCGATTCTGCGCATCAGTCGCGTACAGACTCACTAATCCTCTTAAGGCAGCTTCTATGCAGCACCTGAAGGTCGCAATGCTATGTTTCTGAGCCTGCATATTTGCTGCAATGTTGAACAGTTGGGGATGAACAGGTCAATGGCCCCACACAGTGGCTGGCTCATCCAACACGCATTTGCTCAATGAGTATAAGATAACGTGCATGCGACTGTTTGAATTGTTCCACCGCAGTGCGAAGGGGATATCAGTGACGTCACTGCTGGTAGACACAGCGACCATCACGATCACGGCGGCATACAACTTCTGCAAAGGTGTGGCAGCAGTGGCGGGCGCCCTGTGCACTGTTGACTCACAGCCTCACCGGCGGGAATTGTTGGAAATGGCCGCTTGAGCTATTTTGCCGTCGAGGCTGACTGCATTGTCCATGTCTGCAAGCCAGGCTACAGATTCAGCACGTATGGCGAGATGGTGGTCTTGTGGTTTCAGAACAACCTGCTGCTCGCCGCTATGTTCAAGTACAACAAGAGCAGCATGAGGGAAATTGCGACAATCTCCACGGTGATGGCATTTGGCACCTGGTGGCTGATGACGGGTGGCTGCCCAATGCGCATCCTGTGGCTGCTGCAGGGATCCACAGTGTTTGTGTCAGCGGTGGCCAGCAGGGTGCCACAGATTGTGCTCAACATCAAGAATGGCGGGTCCGGCGAGCTGTCCATCACCACGTATCTGTTGAACGTCCTTGGCTGCGCGGTAAGACCCCCTGTCGTGTGTTCTGCACAATGCACAATCCAGATAGGCTGTCTTCTGCGGCGTTACCGTCGATGTTGCCCGAATATGGATCCAACAGTGAAAATTTCATCCACAAACCAGTGAGGATTTGGGCACCCGCAATGGCCTGGTGACCCAGATTATCTTGCCATGAAGTTTGCGCGGGGAGCTCTCTGCAGTGGTAGAATGACACAGCATTTCTAGCATTGCTACCTGTATCAGTTGGCACCAAGTAGCGTCAGTGAGCGAGTGGGGTGGTAGCTGTGGACATGGCGCAATGTTGACCGACCATCGGCGTACACCAGAGTGGACGGCCTTCATCACCTGTGGCGACTGTGCTGCGTTTCGATTGTATGCAAAAGTTGTTTCGGGTACAGTTCGCTTCTTCTTCAAGGAGGTCTCAAACAGTAACAATTTGCAGCATCATTCCTGGCAGATGCAAGTTCCGGCCTAATTCTTTCACGGTTTTCAAAGGTGGCGCCGCAATTTTTTTCCAGCGAGTTAGGGCACGTGTGCAGACGAGAAATGTTGGAAAGCTCAGCGGTGTTTTGAACGACGATTGCACAGCACATAGGAACTAACGCGTCGCTGCATGCTTAGAAATCGCCAAAACAAAGGTGGCAACAAAGAGAAAGTTGAAACCAAGGTTTTGAAAATTCGTTCTCATCTTGCTCCCTTCGCACTCGTGTGCACTTACATGTGATGCACTCCCTCATCGCAACGCCACAGCTGTACACTAACAATAGGCCAGAACAGCGAGTAGGGAAGATTGGAAGCCAAGCCCAGTGCTTCTGAAAAGGCGAAACACTGCAAGAACAGCTTGTGTTTTGAAGAGCGCCCTGTGTGTCGCAGCTATTGAGTGCATCGGCAATCCAAGCAACGGAAACACCTGCCCATAACACTCTTCTTCTCAATGGGGCCGCTACATCCGCTTTTGGTTGACTTTCATGTGCCTCATTAATGCGAGTCCCTGGCACAAATACGGTCGCCCTCGAGCGCAAGCACTCGAATTTGAATGTCCGCGAAAACTGCCAGACACATGCAAAGCAATCCAATCACAACAAAAATACCCTTGCTCCTTCCACTCATCCACGTCTGCCGCTGTTGTCGATCCTGTGGTTGGACAAGACTGGACGAAGCACTGCCTTGCGGCTTCCAACCCGTGCCCTGCTAGCTCCCTCAACACTTGTTATCTTGCGTTTGCATGTTTCTGGCCTTGACGCCAGATGCTTTGGCCCGTGGTGACGTGACTTTGGTGTGGCCCCCAGGCCCGTGTGCTCACGACGCTGGCCCTCACGGGCGACATGCTGCTCCTGGCGGGTATGGCCCTGCAGTTCGTCCTCAACGGGGTGCTGCTCTATCAAACACTGGAGACAGCTGGAGTCGTGACGCGCCAGAAGACCCCTCGCCTGCAACCTTGACGGCGGCTTCTTGGCGCTGCAAAGCGCGTGCTACCCACTTGCAGCCAGATTCGCTTCGATGGCATAGAAAACTTGTTCCCCGGCATGTTGTTGACTAGGTTTTGTATGTTTGGTGCCCAGGCATACGTTTGGTGCCCGAGCCCAGGCATTGAACAGGCAAGTGTTTCCTCTTACATGTGCCATCAAGATCTACAGAAAGCTAACCCTAGGTGACTGGACAACCAGATGAAGCTTGGGGACCCAAAGCAGCGGCATGGTTGGCACGTCCAGCGACCGCCTTTCGCGCACTGCTACAAACGCACTTGCAATCTTGCCAGCAAGCTACTGCCAACAGGCAAAACCTCGAAGTGCAGATCACAAGAACTAAAACGGAGGCCCCTCCTGAGCGCCCGCTTTGTCGTCTTTGATATCATACATTCTTTCTTGTACAGTCAATCTCTCGGGCACTACATCCCCTTGCACTTTCTTGTTGGGTGGCCAAAGGTCCGGACCTCTTCTGTTAATGGACGATTGGCACCTGGCCTCTCACGTGTGTTGCAAAAGGTCTGAAGTCTGAAGGACTGTGTTGTAAAAGGTAGAAGTGAAAATATGCCAATAATCTGCAATCCCTCAGCACTTTGGCCTGCGTCCTTTCCCCCCTCCCCAAAACAAGAAAATCAAGAACAAAAGAAAACGCTGCTGTGCCAGCGGCTGCCACAACGTTCAGCATCTCGCTGCTAGGAAAGCTGCGTGTGCGTAGCCTGCAGAGAGGGGGCACAGATTAGGCCAATTGCTGGCAACGGACATCACTACGCCCAGCATTATACTGCAGAAGACGAATTAAATGGCTGATTGTGAACGGAAATGGTGCTGAAGGCCAACGTGCGCTGTGCCTGGGCGCCACTTCTCATCCTGCACACCTTGCCATCTTGGCACGCATAGCTACTCTGAAATGTGTTGCCTTCCGGCCATGCATCTATTACGACCCTTGCCACGTGCGGGGTCGACTTGGGTACCATACAAGCAGTGCGACCAGCACACCAGCAGATTGTGCACAATGGCAACCAATGAACAAATTCGTACAGCAACGAAACGAATGCAGTCTCACCCTCAACCCATCCCTCTCAACAGCAGCAAGCTACTCTCCTTCACTGGATGCATATAAACCTGCACATACCTATACCGAAACACAAATAACTGAGCTATGAACCGCCTACACTGACCGCAATCAACTAATCGGACTTCAGGCCATTCTTCGGAATGGCAGCCCTGCCGTGAGTCGATCCACTCTCAGATGCTGTCCTTCCGTTCATGGAGATCCGGCTCTGCAGGCTTGCGAGGGAAGCAGCCAGTGAGTCCCCAATGGAAGTCAGGTGCAAGACCGACTCTTTGCCCAGGGCGCTCTGGCTGGCCACGCGCTTCATCCGCTGGAGGATTGTCTCTGAGGACCTGCCATTCGCCGATTCGCGCGGGGTCAGAGAGGAGCTCCTGCCGCTGCCACTGCTGCTGACCATGGAGTGCGCCATGCAGATTAGGTAGTCCGAAATCTGTGACACCTTCTTGCCATTGGGGAGGTTGGGGGGGCGTGACCGTTTGGAACTGTGGCATGTAGTGCTTCTTCTGCTGGCAAGACCTGGCAACACACCCCATTCTCCGATTTTTCATATCTGGGAATCCTTGCAAACATGATCAGACACACTGCAAGTACACTGGGTAGATTCACTTGCAGCATCATCTGGAACACGTTGTGACAAAGCACGACGGCAGAAGCAAATGCGACAGCTGCAGCAGCAACTGCCAATAACACCGCTACTGCACAGTTAGCAAGAGGTTGGAGCGACACACAAAGCACTTCACCCAGTGCTATGTGACTTTTGGGTGCAAATCGGCAAAAGCAGGTTGCAAGTCAGTTACCAGAGCAACCTCCTGCAAGTGACTGATGCCTACAGAAAAACCCGTGTAAAATCTCAGCAAACAGCCCATTGCACTGCGCGGATGCCATTTCACAATCTTGGCACAGATTTCATTGTGCAGGTTGCATGGAAATTGCCACTCCAAGGACTCTGCAACAGTGGCACCAGGTACACTGTGTGGCTTCAGCTTTGGTGGAAGTCATCGGGGGAATTGGACTGCCAGTCTTCAGATGGCGTTTTGATTTGGGCTTCAAATGCTTGTGTTGTGTTCTTAGATAACTTCCGATCGTACGTGCAACAATGCAACATGCCATCGCATTGAGAGCCACTGAGAGGCAAGGATCGTGTTTTCAAGCTAAGAACTGGCTGGAAGGACTGCTGTCCAGTGCTCTTGGCTCACAAACGCAGTCTTCCAAACCACAATACTTCCACCACACAAATCGAACAACAGGGCCTGCCTCCTGAGCCCATGCTTTGTGGGCCCTTGTGATCCTTAAAGTACTGTGCAATTCCATTTGCCCTCGCATGCGTCATGAGCTGTCTCTGATGGCAAGGAAAACAATCTGCTCTGGAGGGTGTGCCCCACTGAATTTGATTGTCTTCATCCATGCATCAAGATATGACTTGCTAACAATGGAAATATATACAAATTCACAGGAAGTAGTCCGAACCACACCAACAATCACTATACTGCTGGCAATATCTTTCACCACACCTGGAGAGCTTTCTGAACAGCTAGGCGAACAGGGTCTCTCGCCTGTCCACAAGCTTCCTGTCTCCCTATCAGCCTGGCTCTCCATCCTCGGGGAGCAAGAGGCAGGCCTCTCACTGCTGCGTGATGACATGTGCCGTTGTCGCATACTGTCCCGTCGATTGTATCCTGACATTCAACCCCACAAAACTCAGCAAGGAATCCAAGTTGGGAGACAATGACATAACAGCAGCGAACCCCACAGCCCAAAATCGCCTTTGATCAAAATGCAGTCAGTGAGGATGCACAGAGGGCAAAACCAATGGCCAGATGGTTAGACGCAAGTCTGCAAGCAAATCATCCAAACTTCTGAAACCATCAGCTGCTCAAGCGCTCAAGGATTTGGAAGTCAAACGTGATTGGTAGAAAAGCCTCTGGTTGTGTGTGGCATGCCATCCCTGCTGCACTCAGGGGCTGTGGGATTCATTTCATGCTGCAATGGCAAAGAAACTCAGAAACATTCTTGCTCAAAAACATGATGTATCTATGCCATGACCAGCTTGCTTCTCATCGAAGGGTCACTATTGCCATGACTGTATCCATTTGCGGTAAATCGAGAAGTCCTGCCACATATGCTAGCTTTATTGTCCAGTACCCTTTCTATCGTTCTGGTCAGTTGGCTGTCTTGGGGTGATAATTGTGTGGCACACATAAACGTATCCTGATCAAGGACACTGTGGAGGATACTGCCTTTTCTTGCACTTAACATGATGGGTACATTTTACTGGATCATCAAATAAACTCTCTCAAGATGAGCCTGGCAAACAATATGACCAAGAAACCTACCAACCAATGGCATCATGGAGAACATGTGCTTTGAAGAACTTACAACTACAGCTAAACAGCATCACAGCACACAACGATGACAATTGCAGAGACAAATGCAGTTGAGCCCAGTGCACCGTGATGCTGGATGCAGGAGGTGTTGTGCAGCAGTGCACTGCTGCATCAACGAGTCCTGAGCTGCACATCTGCGTACCATTCTTGTTCTTGGAAGGCATCGCAATATCTGCAACCAGCTTCATGTCAATTTCTGCAGGGTCACGCCAGTATATGTCACGGAAGTCGCTCTCACTTGAGGCTGCCAATCCAAACAACACACCATCATCAGCATTCTTCCCTCTCGTTCAACAGCAATGAAGCATCCTCACCTGCTTCCTTTCTCTTCCCTTGACAGCAGCAGCACACACAGTTCCAACTCACAATCCCAGATGAAGTCCCAATGTGCACTGTTCCACGGAGTATTGCAGAGTTTCTGCAAGCACAAGTTGCGGATTGTATGCAGTTCCAACCCAACAGAACACTCCGCTGTTGGGTGCACGATGGTGCAATGATTGTGCCTTGCTTGCACAGAGAAGCACACAGTGCTTGGCACATCTGGGCGATGATCAGCGAGTCATAAAGAACAGCAATGGTTTGCTTTCATTCTGCTCCTCAAGCAAAAGGAGGCTTCATTCTTTTGCACCACAAAGAAAAAGCTGAGATTTAGAATCTGGACATGCCTACCACAAAGGTGTCTCTTTTGGGTCCTTCCATGTCCACCTTGTTTGGCTTCGATAACGCTGCAAACAATTTCATCATAATGATTCTGCTTTCAGAGGCTCGGACTGTCGTCCGCATAGTTCTGAAGCTAGGAGGTGGCACAGACCAGTTCTGGCTGCTGGGTGTTCTGTTCCAATTCTGCATTAACCAGTATTTGCTCAACTTCGTTCAAATATTTGGGGTGCTTGCCACGAGTTCTGTGACACTAGGGAAGAAAATAACTTCCAGCAGTCCGCAATGGGCTCAATGTGGACCTTGGCATCTACAGAACTTGTACTTTGGACAACCTGCACATGGACTCAACATCACCTTGCAGGTGCAAGGGCTGTGTATTGTCACTCTTACACAGCAGCAATAACACAGCAATCAAAGGATTCACACCACCAAGAAATGGTGGCATGCATGAGCAGAAAAGGCAGTGCGTCAGTGCCCATATTCACCTGCAGTGCTAGTAGGTGTGGTGACAGACTCTTCCAGATATCTTGGGTCACTGGCGATGGGCCCCAGTGCAGTTGTTCCTGGCCGACTAACAAAGTCTGTGTGGTCCACCCGCCGCCCCAGACGGTTCACAAAACTTGCCACTGTGGAGGCATCCGTTATCCTGTGACCAATGAAAGCAACCAAATGGTGGTGAACAGCATTCCCTCACAACAACAGCCTTCTGACCAACTGCCAGTTCCAGCAAATCCTGGAAAAAAAATTCTGCTGCTAACAGGCTACTGCTGCAGCTGCTGACCTGCCTTGGGTTCCAATGAGAACATCAGGACACCACTTGTCCTGGGGGAAATAGGCAGCCAATAGTCCCGTCCTTCCCTCAGCCTCTGATATTTTGCAATGTTGCTCTTAATTCACTGAAAGGAAACTGTGTGCCATTGCTTTCACAGGTTGCCACCGCTGGAGTCTGTTTCTGGGGCCATGGCAGCACCAACACAATTGCCTCCAAGTATCAGCCATTAACTATCCAATGTTCTCACACCTCTCACCAATTCACAGGTCCTATGTCGTTAGGAAGTTGACAAAGCCTCACCACTACCATGCCACCTTGCTGGTATGGTACAGCAGGGAGGCACATCCACAACTGTGCAGCACTCAATGTCCCAACAATCTTATTTATGGCACAACAGCAACAGACCGTATGCCCACAACTCCCCCCCTTCCCTCCTTTGTGCTGCGTTCAATTTCCAGCCTGAAGATGCCTTCCTTCACAAACCAACCTTGGGGTGAGGACATTGCAAACCCCAGAGTGCTTTGTGCCTCTTTGACAAGGCAGCCAGCAATGCCGCTGCATAGGCCCAACGAGACTTCACAGCCCATGATGTCTGCCCCTCAATGAGGGGCGGCCATACCCCGCGGCAGGGCCAAGCACCCTGCACAGGTCATATTGTCTCCGCACTGTCGAAAAGAAAGCCTAACTACTGAACGCAGACAACATCTGAAAGTGGAGGAAGGGGCAAGGGGCCTCAGGGGCCACACGTACCTCACTTCCCTTCTCTCCAAAGGCACCACAAGAGTGTCCCGCGCGAACATCGCGTTGTCCGACAACAGGCCGTTGGCCTGCTTGAGGTCAAGGACCGTCACGCCGTACCGTATGGCGATCCCCGCCAAGTTGTCATGCTTGGACACCTGTCAGCACAATCACGCCAGGGATCACACACCGCGCTCGGCGACGTTCGGAGCGTGGGGCTCCATCTGAAGTGTGTCGACTTCGCCAGAACAAGTGAGCCAGGTGGGGCCCTCAAAAGACCGAAGCTGGGTGGGTGGCGGGGATCGCACCTTGTGAACGAGATATTGGTCGGCGCTGCTGTCGCCGCTTGCGAGGGGCTCTCCTGAGCTCCCCTCCATGGCCGCACCGCGCCCCTGTGCACCAGATTTGGCAAGCCTTCCTGGCCACTGCGCTCAGAGGGGCGGCCCTCCCGTGGGCGCTGGCGCGCCGACGATGAATCCCCAGCGTTGCGAGGCGGCAGTGTGCCAGCCACAGCCCGCCGCCAGGCCTGTGCACGTTGGCGTGGTCGCCGTACAAGGCGACCCGGGCCTCCAGCAACCCGTCGGACGCTCCTGTTGACGCCACGCGGGTGGGGATTGGACCAATCGGCAGCGTCCAAGGGCAGGCGAAGGAGGGAGGCCGTTCGCAGCATCGGCTGGGGACGGGTCTGGCGCCCAGCGATCAACTGGTCCTGCCGCGAGGCCTCGCAACCGTCTGGGGACGCGGGCCCACCAGGTCAAGGCCGGTCCCAGATTGCCCAGGCACCAGCCGGGCTCGCCGCCGATGATAGATGGGCAAGCTGAGAGCAGGCGTCTTGCGCCGTGCGGCTCACCTCTTCTGGTGGGAGGGCGTTTTGCTATTTACAGCGGCCACGGACGCTGCCGGTGGGAGGAGCAATGCCGCGGGGCATGCGCGGCGGCACCGGAAGGCGGTACTGCGGGCTGTCGAGCTGGGCGAGGAGTCCAGCCGACGCCTGCGCCCCCGCGCGGCCCCGGCGAAATGGCACGGCTGCACCAACGGGGGCCGGTCCCCGATGTGCGGGCCAGCGACGGCTGAGCCGCGGGTCAACAGCAGGTGGAATTTCTTTCCTGAGGAGTGGGCCAAGGGGGCAATATGTGCACGACGGCACCTTGCTGTGTGGTAGAGATGTCCACCCGGATCCGCTATTATAGCCAACGGAGTGCCCGTCCGCTAACATTCGTTAATTACGAGCTGGGGCCTGCGGCCCCCTACCAGAGGAGGTGGATAGGCCCGGCTAGTTCCAGCCTTTGCTAGATGGCCGAAATGCGGGAAGTAGAGGTGTCCATAGTGAGTCAGTTTCTTTTTTTCCCTTACTTTTGGAAGAAGAAAGTTCTCGTTCGTTTCCGTTTGGGTTTTGAACGATTTCTATGGCCTTCCGTTCGTTACACATAGGCGTTCAGGTTCCATCATCCATTTATTGTTTCGTGCCTTTTATGTTCGCCCTGAGACGGCAAGGAGCATGTAGAAATGCGTTTAGGAGCACGCCAGCAAGGAGCGGGTGCGCTGGGAAGGGCATGGGCGAGGCACAGTGCAGACCAGCCCAAGCGCTTGCTACCCGCACCGCAGCTTTGCCGCCTGTGGCGATCACTTGGTGCGATGGCCCAGTGTGCCAGCTCAGTTGCCATTGAATCGCCACTCAATCAGCCACGACGACTGAGCCCGGTGCTGTCGGGGATGGAGGGCAAATCAGCAGCCACACTTGGACACACTGGCTGAGGCGCTTGTATGGGATCCGGGTGCAAGGTCGTGCTGAGGGCGTTCTGGGCAGCGCCTGCCACCTCCACACGTCCCCCCAGCTAACAGCTCGTGCGTTTGAAGGGCCTTGGGGCCCTATCCACCGCGACATTTCGTTTCCAGCCACTGTTGTGCTGCTGGTGGCAGAGTTCAGATCACGAACATTGTCTTCAGCCCAATATGCGAGAGTTCATGTGCACAAACTCTTCAAAGTCTCCTGTTTGCCCAGCAGCCAAAAGTCCGTGTGGACGCAAAATAATAAGATTTATTTGCCCGCCAAGGGAAATGAGGAAACGTCACTGGGTTCCAAGCAATATGGATCCAGCTCTGGAACCGGCAGCATGTGGCTACCAGCAATGGGAGCACTGCGGCCCGCACCTCGAAACGTCTCAAATCTGTTTTGAACCCTGCCAGAGTAGGGACAGAGTCGCACAAGCCAGCTTGTTCCACAACACATTAAAGCCCCCGTCAAGCACAGCTCCATCGCCCCTGAACTACCAGCACAATGCTCTGCACAGCTCCCAGTCTGCGCAAAATTCGCACACACACGGAGGCAGGTTTCAATTAGTAGTTTTGTTTTACATGCCATGGCGTAATGGACAGTTGACATCCATTACATAAGCCTGATAGTCAAACCTTTTCTCAAAGAAACTTTCCTGACATGCAAAGGCCACTGTCATGACAAACTGGGACTGTTCCGCCAGGGAGCAGGCATGCGCACACGAAAAAGTTACAATTTGCTATCCACAATCCACACCTGCGTTGAGCAAGCCACCACATTCTCATTCCCCACAATACATGGCATCAACAACGCACTTCATGGATAGGCCCCTGCTCACAAACGTGTTCCCCTCTGTTCAGGCAGGCCCTTCGCAAGCAGATTTGTTCACCACTGCACTGGGCCACACCTCGAATTGTTGTGTGCTCATATCAACACAACAATTGCGCCCCTGCCTCTAATGCTTCCTCTCAGACGTTCGTTCGAACATCACAGGGGCTGAGCTTTGCCAATCAACTTGATCTGCAAAAACAGCCAGGGACAAGATCAGCGCCAATCGATAAACACCTCGCTGGTTGACACCCCCGCTGAGGGCTTCCATGCAAAGGATCACGAATCTTTGCCGAGACGGACAGCCCAACACACAACATCTAATAAGCTGGTTTTTGAAAGAGTCCAAGCTCCAGCCATACACCTCCTCCCTTTCAGGCACCCTCGACTACCAGTGGTGCAATGCAAGGCGACGTGCATCCCTTTGTCATTTTGGCCCATTTTGCAGATCATTGTATTATGTGCAATGAGAGGCAGCCAAGTTTCGTGTGAGGGTTCAACAGCTGTCCTTTGGGACTTACTGGTGTGCAAAGCACCTTGGGGCAAAACTGCAAGGGAACTTGCTTTCGTGGATGCACAGATGTAGGGTGGCAGACAGGAAACATTATTGTAGGGTAGGGGCATAGGCTTGAAGGCGGGCACTGCTGCCAGTAGGCAACCAGGGAAGGAGAGATGTGGACAGGGAGATCAGCATGGCAAAGAGACAACACAACTTGAGACGCAACAGTGTAGGCGGACGGGCTGTGTTGCATGCAGGAGGGCAGGGAATGAGGCATGGAGATAGGCAGCTGTGCACGTGGGTGGGCAGGGACAGAGTTCAATAGGTATCTGGAAAGGGGGTATAGAAACTGGTAGGCAGGCCAAGATATTAGGGAACAGCAGGCTGCAAAGCATGGTATGATAGAAGTGGCATTGCTGGCAGTGATGTGAGCTGGACAGTGGGTGATGTGAGCCAGAATTGAGACAACTAGGCACAAAGGCGTGCAGGCAGTGATGAAGGGGTGACAGAGGTCAAACAGCAGGCCAGGCTGATAGATAGGCAGGCAGGGATGGGAGGCAGGGGGGCCGTGATGCAGGTGAGTGCACAGGGGCAAAGGCATGCAGGGAGAGTTGCAGTTATGCGACTACACCACAATGCTTGCAAGCAGAATCATAGGGTAGTTCGGCAGGAATGACGAGGGCTAGCATAAGGGCAGCAGTCACATGAACGCAGGGGTTAGGACAGGGCGAAGATGGTAGCCCTGATGTCGGTGGGACGAGTGCATAAAAGTGCACCAATGAGATCTTTGAACGCGATCTGCACCACCTGGTTGAATTGTGACAGGGTGATATGGGTCAACTGCCTTGACTGCAGCTAGCGCGTTGGGCCACTGACGCGAACGTTGAACCCCAGCAAAAGGAGTCAATCCTACCGCGCTGCGCAATCGCCCAACGCAGGAACGCTCTCCCGGCCGGAATGGCGACCTAAACGGGCTCAGCTATTTCCCAGCCAGCGATCCCACCAGGCATGGGGCTCGTCCAGGAGCGCAGCACAGGCGCTGCACCTATTCCTAGGGCGACTTGGGTCACGACCAATGCACCACTCACCCCGCCGTGCTCCGCCGTTGGGCGCCCTATCGCTGCCCTGCCTCGCGTCCGTTACCCTGTCCGCTCAGTTTTCTGGCATTGCAGAGCACGATGAGTGTCTGATCCTTCGCCAGGCCCGGCGTGTGGAAGATTCCCTTGTACGCTCATCCGATCTTTGTCTGCAGAAGGGAGCCCACGGATAGGTCAGAGCTGGCGGGCACCCGCACAGCACGCCAACGAAAAAAAACACGGCTGGTAGCCATGGAGCCGCAGAGGAGACGCTGCCTGGTGCTGCTCCAATCGCCACTCACCAGCCACCCTCGCCCACGCACATGCGCTCGTAACACAGACAACTAGCCCAGAGACACGCGCGCGAGCGCGTGCCACACCCACCTGCACGGTGACCGGGTGACCGCCACGCAGGCGCAGAGGACTGGTGGTGCCCGTGGAAGGGATGTGGGGGAGCGCCGGCAGCGCCAGGGATGCCGGGAGGACAAGGGGCAGTGCCGCTGCCTACTAGCGCCTTCAGCATCCAAGCGCCAACGCTGTAGGCTCGCAGCCACCACCCATGGGTGGTCAATCGCCTGTTCATTGTAACCACCGCTCACCCCGTTTCCTGCGGATTTTCCAATGCAAGGATGCACCGATGGACGCTGAGCCCATTGGGCGCCTGCGTCGTGGCCTAACAGGCCACACCGACAGTCCACTCTACTCCTGCGTCCCTCCTTGGGATGCCCACCGTGCCAAATCCCAGCGTGCCGCGCGTGGTGCGCAGTATGGTTGGGCGTCCGTCCCCCACAATTCGCCGGTCATTTCGACCGGTGCGGGACGGATCAACCCCACATCAACCACATCCCAGACACATATAGGGTTGCGGATCAGTGGTGAAGGAGGAAGGACGGTGGTTGCGTTCAGACGGGGCGGCCGGCGAGCAGGCAAACCACGAACGTCGCAGCTGACGCAGCGTAGCAAGAAAGGGCTGGGCACCAAAAGTTGGGGCGAACGGTGCACGACGCGCCCCACACACGTGCACCCGCGGTGAAAACCTGAAGCTTACAAACGTGAGAGGATCGAGATTCGACGATTTATGGCATCCTTAGAATCGTCGGCCGAGCAGTGCTCCGGCCTTGCTTGCTGTCCGCAGCCGTCCATGGCACGGGACGAAACGGGTTCGTGTTTCAGTCCGACGTCGTATGAAAAAGTTGGTCACGCAGTACTCTGTGCTTCACTGTTGCCGCCGGACGAAGCCAAACCGGGGCTATCGGGGCCGTCTGTACGAAGCAGCGGATCGTAACCTCCTCTGGTAAACTCAGACACTGTGGTGATTAACGGCAGGGCGTGCACGTAGTTAACGCTTTTGTAAGGGACCCAACGGCTTCCACAGCAAAGAACTCGAGCACAAGATAACATGACTCGCCCCCCCCAAATCAGATGACCCGCTCCCAAAATTTCAATGTTAGGACATAGCGACCGAAATCTGTGCTCCAACTTGCCGCTTGCCCCTTGCATGACGCGGGCAAACAAAAAGCGCCCAGCCATAGTGTCGATGGGCACTCTGGTCGACCGCACGCACCCATCGCTAGGGGCTGATACGAGTCTGTTGCATCGTGGCAATCGCACCTGCGAGCTGGCCCCCTTTGCGGTACAACCAATGGCACACCTTGTAGAGGTCAGCACTGGTTTTAGAAGCAGTTAGGCGTTGTTGACCCATTTTTTTGGAAATTTTTGCCTAATTGGCGCCGTTGTTTGGGTGTTATGGAAATATAAGGGGGTAGAGTTAATTATGACCATAATGGAGTTGAATATATGGATTAGTGGAAATGGACCATTTATATGGGTTGCTTATTTCTTATAGATATTCCTAGCCTGTTTATTTGCCTTATTCCCCTTAGAAATGACTATTCTATGGTCAGTGGTAGTCCTTGTACTTGAGGACCGGCCAAGGGGATTGGCTTGGCTGGGAATAGCGACCCAGGGGTCCGAATGGGTACGGTGAGCTGATATTGGGTATGTGACATTGTCGTGTATTACTGATGTCTATACTTTACGGGTGATTGGTTTTGATTGGACCAATCACTGGAGAGTAAAGGGGGTTGGTCTGCCCCCTGTGTCTGTAATCGCTTGGTTCCTGCTCCTGCGCCCACGGGCCGCGAGGCCGGGCAGCTACGCCGCACGGCTCGGGCCGGGGCGTCCCGTTGTGTGACCATACCCCCGCACGGCAGGCCTGTCGGACGCGTTCCAGGGCCCACCACGCGTACTGAGGCAGCGAGCACCCCGACATCCGGGGTCCCCGACGGACCCCGAGGACCGGTGACGGCACCGGGTGCATGCGAGCGGCCAGAGGCGGAAGGGACCAGACGGGGGCGGCATCGGGTGGCCGGCCCCCGCGCAACATTGGTTTCGGAGCCTCCCGACGGACCGGGGAGCCGAGAGGGATGCACAACGGGAAAGAGTCGATGCCACCACCATTGCATCGTGGTGGGGCGTACCGCGAAGGAATCGCAAGATGCAAGCGCCGGTGGCCACCCTGCGGGGTGAATCACCAAGGGCCGTGCTTGCAGGAGGCCCGAGGAAGCGACAGAACGGGCAGATGCACCACTACTGGGTGCGGGGAACCCGGTGGAGCAGCGGGAATTGAACCCGCTCGGTGGCGATCTCGAAGGGGCGCCACCGACTCATGCAAGATGGAGGGCGAGAATGACAAAGATGGCGCGGTGGCCTGGCGGATGGAAGGCCAAAGAAAAGACGTATGGAAGCGCTAGAGGAGATCCAAGTTTCGGGGGACACGAGGAGGCGCTGCGGATCCAAGGAGCGGAATGGAAGCTACGGAGGTCAACGGGCCGTTGGACGGCCGGCGACGGCGATGAAAGGTGCGGCCGGGTGCTTGCAATAAAGCAGCACCACGGCCTGGTTGCTGCCCGCGGAAAGGAACCGGCGCCCCGCTTGATTGAGCGGTGGGGACGCCGGTAATGGGAAGTGATCGTGCGGAGTCCGGTGCCCGTGGGGCTGGCGGAGCCTTTTGGCTTGAATGCGCTGGAAATGGCGAGTGGAGACGTGAACGGGCGCGCAAAGAGGCGCTGAATTTTGGCCAGCCCCGGGGGCGGAGGCAGCCGTTTGGCTGCGGTGCAATGGAGCACCGGCGAGTGGTGTGGATCGCCGGCGGAGTGGGCT